GCCTTGAAAGAGGTCTTCCATGCATATCGGTTGGCGTGCCGAGATGTCACCAAACGCACATTCTTCAGCGAAACCCTGGTGAGTGGACTGCGCAAAGCACCCTATTGGGTCAGCACTGTGGCCTTATTCGGAACTCTCTTGGAGGGGCTGTGGCCGGTGGCCTGTGGGCGCCTTGGCTGCACCCGAACGGCGCGCGCGCGTGTGTGATATGTGTGTGTGTGTGGTTGCGTTTGTGGGGCCGTGGAGCACGGGCTGGCTGGGGCAGCAAGCAACGAGGATCCAAGCGAGTTTGCCGGCGTGGAGCGGGCAGCTCAGCGCAGAGGCCTTGAAGATGGGGACTCTGTGCTTTCAGGAAAGGTTCCTCTATGGCTTGGCCGTCTTGGAGGTAGATATGCGCAAGCATGGCCGACTCACGCGGAGAGCGCCCAAACAACCTGCAGCAGAGGCAGGGGTAAATGGCTTATCTATACATATATATATATATAGACATATATATGTATATATATAATAGAGCGAGAGAGAGAGAGAGAGCGCAGAACTGCACCGAGCCTATAGGGAGGAGAAATGAGCACAGACGTGAAAATAGAGGGATAAGAAGCAGACTTCTCCACGCGGTACGTCGCTCGACGACAGGGTGTGGAAGCGATGGCAGAGGTTCTTCGCACCTTGGTGGGTTCGGGGTGGTGTGCAGAGTGGACGCGGCGCTGTGGGCCACCGTTCCGGAACCTGCCGGGCCCGATGTGGGGAGCTGCGGCATATGAGGAAGTGATGGCCTTGCTGGTGGAGCGGGGTCTTGGAGAGATCCGCGAACAGCGCCTCACGCAGGAGCAGCTGCTGCGTGTCTTTGTCAAGGGTGCTTTCACGGCATTGTCCCAGGAAGCCAAAGAGGCTCTGAAGGATATGGGCGTTCCAAGTTGGTCATTTGGACCGCCGCGGCACGCGGCGACGACGGAGCCCCCGCGGCCCAGGCACGCAGGGGCGCGGTGAATATGGGTTGGGGGGCCTATAGGACCTAGGACGAGAATGCTGGCGGGGCCGTGCCGCCGTTGTGAGAGCAAAGTCATATGTTTGCGTTTTGCGTCGTGTGGCTTGCAGGACGAGCAAGACGACTGCGAAGAGCCGGCCGCCTGACAGCGCAGGAGGAGACAAGACAGGATCTGGCCCGATCCAATGCCGCGAGCGTGGGCTGTCGAGGCGCGCACGGTGTATAGGGAACCAGCGGGGCTCGGAGCCGAACAGGTGTGTGACGGTGAGGTGACCAGCTGATCGGTCCTGATACATTTTGTCCTTGTGTCACTGTTGCCAGGAACGAGGCGAAGGCCTTGCCTGCAAGCAGCCGAGGAGAGGCGGAAGAGGCTAGCCCAGACGCTGTGGAGGCGAGCCGTGTGAGCGAAAGAGAGCCGTGGAGCGTGGTTTTCCATGGCGAGCCAGTGGAGGATGTGGCAACCTACACAAGCTTGTGGCAAGCCGCCGAACGCGTGCTGGGGGAGCGAGGAGACCCAGGCATGTACACCTTCCATGAGAAGAACTTGAAGAGGGAGGGCAAAAGCGCGCTAGGGATTTGCAACAAGAGCGCTTGTAGTGGATGCACGAAACAAGTGAAAGCAAGTGTATGTTTTGCTGAGAAAGGCCCCCTTCTTTGCATAGAGGAGAAAGGTTGCCATGGAAAATTACAGCCGCCAAGCGGTGGGAGACTATGGACATGCGCAGAGGCATGGGCGTTGAGCGGGCTGGATGCAAAGCGGCCCAGGGTTACGCCCAAAGATGTGCGGGACGCGCTGCAGGCACACCAGCTGCAAGTGCGCTGTACCAACACGCAGCTGCACAACTTTGTGGTGCGTTTCAATCGCACGGGCCCTCCCCAGAGCGGCAAGGGCAACCTAACCTTGAGCCAGGTGCGCAACGCGGCCATGGACTACATGTGCGAGAGCATGGAGGCATGGGCAACGTGGAACCCATGGCGACTAGTGGTTCTACCATGTCCAACCTTGGAGGTGGACAGGATCTGCGTCGTGTGGACTTGCCCGGGCATGCTGCGACGCGCTGCCTGTCTGCAAGGGAAGGTGGTGAAGCTGGCCGTGGACGCCAAGCAGAAAATCGTGGCCAATGAATATGGGATCGTGACAGTCTCATTTTTGGTGAGCAGCGCGACGCCGAGCAAAACCTGGGCAGGGACCAAGCACACAAAGTCTATTGACACGCACACTGCCACACAAGAACCCTTCATCCAAGCGTTGGTGAATTCGGAGTCAGAGGCCAATATGACGCAGATCTTCACGGAGGCATGCAACCTTGCAGAGCGATATTGCGGCCTAGATCTACGCGCGCAAGTTTGGCAAGTGCACAAGGACTACGCCAAGGGGATCGAAGCGTCCCGGCGCAAAGTCTTTCCGTATGCCCGCCCATGTGACGACTATGTGCATATGCGCCGGGCCTCCTACAAAGTTCTCCAGAAGTATTTGCCGACGAAAACACAGAGGCCGAGGTCAGGGCTGCAGGCGAAGGTAAAGAGGGCACTTGGAAACCGTACGGGTCAGGGTGTTTTGTAGGGACGAAAAAAAAAAACGCGAAGCAAAGCGCAGAGATTCTTGTAGCACGTGCGCTTCCGCAGGACCAGCAAAGACAAAGCAAAGAAGCGCGCGTCGCCAAGCCCAGCGAGGGCAAGCACCATGGCGGCGAAAGAGGAGGAAGACTTCAGCCAACTGGAGAGGGTTATCCAAATCAGCCGGGAGGTTCCGACGGTGCAAATGTTCGATGCCATTTGGCAGCTGGCTTTTCCGTGGCTGCGGGAGAAAAGCGCAGCGGCCGCAGAGTACTTGCAGCGGACCTACTTTCAGCAGGTGCCCACCGAGAGCCTGCAGAAAGGCTTTCGCTGCAATGCGACACTTTGGGGCGCTGACAGCTTGTGGTTTGGCGGCTTCTGGGGCGGAATTCTGGGAACGTATCCAGGCAGCAGCTCTGGAACACAGCCGCTGGAATCATTTCACTCCTACTGGCAAGGCACTATCAAAGCCAAAGCAAGGACATCGCCAGCAGACATATTTGGCAGCATGCAAGACCTTTTCCAAAAGGATTGGGCAGCACGATTTGCGTGGGACGAAGAGAAGAAGTTCGTGACATGGCCCGCACGCTCGGCAGATGCACTGTTCAATAGCCAAAGTCTACGCTCGGCGGGTAGATCCCCAGCTAGGGATTTCTGGGAACACCGTGAAAAGCGGCTTTGTGGGAACCGCAACTACCGCGAAGTGTACATCCGCACAGGTGACACAGAGGGTGCTGGGATGGAAGGGATGACCACGTTCTGGGTGCTGCAAAGCAGAGCCCACGACAAAGTCACAGCAGCGGAAGCGATTGTGCTGCCCGATGTGGCGGAGACGGTTGCCAACCTCATCGCGGCAGAGGGCACGCAGTTAGAGAAGTGGCTGGCGAAGGGAGGTATTGTCAGGGAGGGGCGGCTAGAATTGGGAGCGTTGCAGAAATACATGCACAGGTATTGCGCAGTCTTGGAGGGGCACTTGGTCCAAGTGTCATGGCCCCGCAGCCACCGCAAGCTGAAGAAAGCGGTCCCTGGCAAGCTGTGCACCTGCCGGGAATTCTTGCTGCACGCTGACTGCGAGCACGTGCTCTTCATCAAGGCGTTGCAGAACGATCCCACAGCTAGCATGCAGAACATCCCGACGCTGAGGCCGCGAGGTCGCAAGCGCAAGGGCCAGTGATACAGCGTGCCCGCCATAACCACAGACCACAGAAAAGCAGCGTAGGGGAGCGAATGTGTCTTTTCTGACCTGTGTCTACATGTAGAATAGGGTTGGACGAGATCTTGTACGGATGGAATGTGAGATGAATCTAGCTGATGTCTGAGCCAGGTGCCGCGGCGCTAAGGAGGCCGGTGGAACGGAGTGAGGGGAAGTCTGTGCCCTGTCAGTTGCGAGCGTGAATGTGTGTGTATATTATATATATACATTTATATATGTATATATATATATATATGGGGCCGCCAGAATCATACTGCTAGCTGGGCCAGGAGCTGTGGTGCCAGATGTGTGGGTGTGCGTGTGTGCGTGGTATGTGAGGCCAGAATGTTGCTGCTAGCTGGGCCAGCACTGTGGTGCCAGAGAGGCGAAGGCCCGCCGGTGGGCATGGTGAAAAGGGCTGAAAACGGAATAGACTATACAAGCACAAAAAACCAAGTTTCAGATCCATCCATCCATCCATCCATCCATCCATCCACCAAGCACACAAACAGGAAAACATGTATGTCCATCAAGCACTGTATCACGCAAGCAATCACGGCAAGCCAACCAACAAACCAACGCGCCAAAAAGTAACATTCTTCTCCCTGTCCATGATGCATCCATCACTGTATGTATTTTCTCCAAACCCAAGCAGCCAACAAGCCAAGCAGGGCGAACCAACCAACACATCAACCAAAGGAAGTGGGGTAAAAAAGAAAGGGTAGCAACCAAACTCTAGTTTCCCCAAATGCTGTCGATACTTGCTTTGCGTTGGCAGCCCACCAAGCAACCAACAAACCAAGCAACCAAAGCCACACCACCTTGTGTTTTCCCCAAAGGCTGTCGATATTTGGTTTGCAGCCAACCAACCAACATACCAAGCAAAGGAAGGAGGGTGAAAAAGAAAGGGTCGAGGGTCAAAACAGAAAGGGTAGAGGGTGAAAAAAAAAGGTTCGAGGGTGAAAAAAAAAGGTTCAGAGGGTGAAAAAGAAAGGTGGAGGGTGGAAAAAAAAGGGTGGGGTGAAAAAAAAAGGGTTAAAGGGTGAAAAAAAAAGGTTGCCCTATGTTGGATACACACACATACATATATATATATATAAATTCATTAGATATAGACTTATATATATATATATGCAGATAGTTGTTGCGAGTCTATAGTAGGCCAAGTTCCTGACAATGATCTAGCTCGAGTCAGTACAAGTTAATGTCCAACAGCTGCCAACCATATACGAAGCATTTGGCCACCGAGCCCTCTCAAAATCCCAGATCCTATCCCACTTTCTGCACCATCATGGGCTACATTGCTGACGGGACAGAGGGCTGCTGTCCACCGCATCACCAGCAATGACCTCGTTGCTTGGCGACAAGCGTGACATCACAGAGAGAGAGAGAGAGAATCCAGAGCACTTCCAGGTGCCATGTTTGTTTCTTTGTCTCATCCACTTCCTGGTTTGAAGAACCAGGTTACGCCACTTGTGATGTTAACGCGTTATTCAGCAACAGGAACAACCAAGGACAACCGGCTCTTGCTCCGTTTGGCCTTGGTGCTTGATTCCCCTTGAACCTTCCCCAAACTAAGTTCAGATTGACAGATCATGCCCTACATTCATAATTCATGGCGTCACCTTGTTGGAGAGAGAGAACCTTGTTCTGTATGTAGCGTTCACCATGGGGAAGGCCAACAGTCTTGACTTAAGTACTGACTTTTGCAACTCGGCGTTCCATGGTGGTTCGGTATCCCCACATGCAAAATGTATTAACTTCAACGGGCACCAGTAGGGTGTATGTCCAGTTGCCTGAAACCATGTGTCGCTGTGTCACTCCTGCTTGTGATTCCCTTTCTTCTCGATCGTGGTTTTCTTAAGATCTAGCAAGTGAGGAGAACCTTTATGCACAAGGGTTGCCTGTGATCCGTTTTTGTTCCAGATTCTTTGTCTCACAAGTTTGACTTGCCCCCAATTCCTTCAAAACGTGAATGGCTGCGCCAAGGACTCCCTTCTCTCGACTGACTCGCAAGGAAGATTACTTGTGTTGCTTGGCTCCACATTGGCTGGCCTTGGGGTACTCGTCAAAAGAGGGTGGCTGGCAACCAACCCTGCTTCGCAGTGTTGTTGCATCTCAAAGGCTTGGTGCCACAGACGACTTCAACTGAATTCACGATTGCCTATTGAGCCTTTGCATCCCAAACGAACGAAAGCGCTGGCGGTTTCTATTAAAGAACTACTGTATTGGATGCTTAAAAAGTTACAGATCTTAGAATCTGAGAGCTTCTGCGTGCAGTAGTGCTTGAGCTGACCAGGCAACCCTCAGACTGCCTGTGCACTCCAGTGCGGTCAGCTAGCTGCTTTGCATCAGCTTTCAGCCAGGTGCAGAAGGGAGGATAACCATAATGGCACAAGGGACGTTAGGGATGCTAGGGACGTTGGGGACGCTAGGGCTGGGGGTGGTCAGACCTGTTTAGACCAAACAGCTCCAGTTGGTGCGATGCCAGGCCAAGCGGCAGAAGCTTGCAAATCCAGCAAGTCCTTTTCCACCCACTCTGCCTCATGGAAGCACTGACAGAGAGATTGCTTTGTCTAAGTCAGTGATGTTCAAGTTTGCATTCACTGTTTGTGATCAAAAACATCTTCGAATGTTTGGTTGACCTGGGTAACCCCAAACAATAGGTTAAGCCTAGGTTCCATTTCTTATCACAGAATGGTTGCTCCGCAAAGCTGCTGAATGTGGGCTGGCCGGGTGTGCCACAACTGTGTGCAGATGCCACGGGCCAGTCTTTGGAGGTTGGGGAGTGACAATCGACAGTCAAATGTGAAATTGCGAAGAATCGACAGTCTTTCTGATTTCCTTCCTTTGTTTTTCCTTCCTTGAAATCTGAGTCTGCTTTTGAGTCTTTGAAAGAATCGACACAGCCACAGAGCACACGCACAAATATCTCGCAAAGATCAAAGAAGGACACCAGTAGAATGCTGAGTAGTATCATTTGATCAAGATTAGCGTCAGGAAGCATTGTGCCGGCTTCTCCGGAGTGTCTGTCATCTCTTCGATGCACTTTCCGCCAGGTGAAGAAGTTTGGTGATGAGGCATAGCATGTTGGCTTCAACTCGTAGGCACGTAGGCCAGAGTTTGCCAAAATGCACATTGTAAACTCCCAGGCCGAGGAGTTGGACAAAGCAGTTGAAGAAATGCTGAAGCTGTTGCAGGAGACTGGGAGGAGCAGACAGCACAGCATTCAAAACATTGAGGCTAAATGCGAAATGTTGGGAGCTAAATGCGAACAGTTTGCGGCAGATCACACATTCTTCGTCGCAAAGTGCCCAAACCATGAACACTGGAGGAGAATCAAGAACTTCCTGAGGCCTCCTGGCGCCTGTTTGTATGGATTGTTGGAATTATGCTGGATTGTTCTAGTACTGATCAATTGCTTTTGCAGTAATTAAGTGAAAGCCTGCAAGAAACCATGTAGACATTCCTCGAAAGACCGCGAAAGCTTTGTGCATTTTGTGCAACAGTTGTGCCTTCAGGTTTTGGCACTGTACACCCATAGCGTAGACTTGGCCGGCCATGTCCATGGCTTTTCCCTGGACGTGCGCCCTAAGCAACCTCATAGCCGTTGCTCATCACTCATGAGTCTCTTATTCTATTCTTGTTCAATTGGTTCCTGTGCAGTTTTTAAAGCAGCGGCCGTGGGTCCTGGTAGAAACCGTAGCAAGGAGATCCAACCGAGGAACCATCGGAACAAGGAACCATTGGACGCTGTAAGAAACGGTTCGTTTTGAAACGAATTTTGAGGTACCGGAGTACTTGGAGTCCATTGAGCACTTTGATGCCTGTTTAGGTGGGAGAGGTAACACAAGGGATGTGCATCAACAAAAGGTAGACATGCTGCATCACCCATAAAGCAACAGAGGCACTCAAAGTCCACTTCGGGAGATGTTGAAGAGTCATTTTGAGCCATTTTGCGCATGCAACTACTTCGGGATATGTCGAACAGTTCGTCCTGCTCTGCGATAAGTGAACGCATTTTTACTTGCTCGCATACTGTCGTTCCTAGGTGTCGTCCCTATGTGACACTTCCTCATGACCTTTTTCCCTGTGCAAATGACAAGCTAACGAACACATGAGGACCAGCCATTGCTGACGTGCGATAATGCAGAGTGCATCTCATATTTGTTGTGATGTGCTTTATTCTAAGTCTTAAGTTCTATTTTCTGGAATCCTTCAGCCCACACCTGGAACAGTAATCGCGTCCATGTGATGTTCGGACTATCTCTGGAAACATACTGTCAAATTCTTCTCAGTGCAAAGTTAAAGAGCTGCTAGGTCGTCTTTTGGATGCCCTGGCAGACCGCCATGAGGATTGGCTTTTGGCAATCACCACTGATCACGGTGGAGGTGCACTCGTGAAAGAGTGCAGTTAAACCTTATTAGAGCACAGAAAGTGAGTGACGAATGCGAGGTGCAGCCAAAGATATGTCCAAAGACCAGTGGTCCCTGTTTGTAGAGGAGAGCTGCAGATTGCTTTGTAAAAATATATCAGGCTGGCAGCCTACACGCTCGTCCGATATTTTGTTCAAATCATAATCTGATGAAGAGCGACTCATGGCCAACTTGCAAGGACTGCAAGTGCATCCACAAAGGCCTCTCCCAGGCAGGTAGTCAAGGTGTACATGGCCTGCAAGATTCAGATACACATAACACCAGGCTTCCCAGCAGCACTAAGCATGGGTTGATGCGTCTTCCTTGCGTGTGACCGTCATTTTGAAACCAGTCCCAATTGTCTTGATTTTGTCCGACTATTTGCAAAGGTTTGTGATCCTCTCCGGGCTGAATGCAAGGCGTGGTCAAGGTCTCTGTAGTAGGAAGGCTTTGGAAGGCTCGGTCAGAAAGGCTTGCTTTGAACCCACCGTGCTCCAGCAATCCTGCTTGCCGTTACAGTACATCAAGAGTCGGTGGAGATTTCCGATTTCCTTTCTCAGGCCCGGAGAGATTTGCCCTCCACCAGAGGCTATTGATTTCCTTCCAACATTGTGCCTTGGCTGCGAAGAGTTAGCAGTGATATGAACATACGTAGTGAATTAACCGAACTAATTTCCTAGGCTTCGCCACCTCGGGCTGGCTTCTGATAGTTTGCCGGGCCGTAGCCGCGGACTTCGTCGCGATTGACCAAAAGGTTGGCGCTGTGTGGGGGAAGGGTCTGGAAGGGCTTCGCAGCGGCTTCACAGAGGGAGCATGGACGCTACTAGGGGCTCCTGGCCGTACTACTAGGAACAAGAAGCTACAAGGGGTGCTGGCCTCGCTACTAGGAGCATGGACGCTACTAGGGGCGAGTCCAGAGCGTTTCTCAGGTCCCGGGATCATTCACCGCTGGAGCCTGACGAGCTCAAGCGAATCAGGTGCCCCGGCGTGCAGACGCAGCAGAATACCGAGTTGAATGCAGAATGTCAACAAGTCAGCAACGCACGATGTTATTGAATTCGATTGGGCTGAACCCTTTGGCAGTTGCATTGACAAATCCGCATATTGGAATCCAACTGTGCGCATTCTCACACACAGATATATATATATATATATTATATATATACATATGGCTGGCACATATTGAAGCAGATAGCAAACCAACCCACTTAAAGGACCATACTGCATACATGATAATACGGAAAGCAGGAAAAAAGCCAGCGTCAAATGAGCGGAAAGAAGAAGGTCCACCACGTTTATATAGTGATTAGTGCGAGTGTGAGCTGTCCTGCGTCCAGTAGCCAGGAGCGAACAAGTTCCCAGTTGCTTACTTCTCCCTTACTTAATTTATGGAGTAGGCACCTACTTAATTAAGTAGGGAGGTGGGCGGAGCGGGCAAAACAATTATCGGACGCTTGCTCCGTGAGTGCTGAGGCAGGCTGGCGGCACTGTCAATAGGCGCGGCCTGAAGAAAGCGCTCCCAGATTTTACCGGTTCACTTTTGGAAGCGGGTTGAAAAAGATAGATAGATACTTTAAAAAAACACAGAAGGTTAGGGCCCTTTTAACTACCATATTAAAGCGACCCTTACCTTTTGTTTTTCATGTCTGTTTTCCATGTCTGTTTTCCTACCGATCCATTTTATATTTGCTCTTTTTTATCACTCATTCTTCAGTTTTGACCACCCTTCTAAGTCTGCGATAGAGATGGTGATAGAGCAGGTAGAACAGGAAATAATTCTTGCAGTAGCTGGTGCTGCAGCGAGGTTTATTTGTTGAGCATGTTTTGTCTCACTGATGCTGTCCAGCAATTCAGGGAAGGGCGGGTTGAAGGCAACCTCAACTTGTGTGAGACTAAGCCAACGGTTGTAGAACAAGCAAGCAGTAGGAGAGTATATGAGCGTATGGTGATTTGTGCATACATCCAGTATCACATTTGCAGATTCATGTATATCAAGAAAAAACAATAGATTTGATCTTCAGGTCAAGGGCCATTGGGGATCTCTTCTACAAGAGGAGCCTGAAGTTCCTCATTGTGCCTTCACTTCACTCGCTCAGTGAGCTTTGCTTGTTGGTTCCAATTCAATTTATATACTGTAGACTCTGTAGACGATCGCAGCCAACCCAAGTGCACTTTGCAACGACAGTGACAGGAATCCAAAACTGCCGCCCGAGAAACAGCTCATTAGCGCAATGCCTGAAGTGAGACCCTTATTGGTACTGGTCCAACTGGTCTACCATTTCACTACTTCCATTTTTCAGATAGACTTGGCTGGCTACAATCCTTTGTGTTTGCTGTTCATGCTCGCACCTTTCACGGAGTCTCAGTCTGAGTTTTGCGTCTCCCGTTTGTCCTTTTGCCCTCAAGCACTCCGCTTTGATTTCAGGTGCGTTTGCGAAAGCTCAGTGATCAGGACCGTCACTTGGCCAGAAGATAGCCACAAGATGTTGCAAGACAGTACTGGCTGACACAGAAAGACGCAACTTTGGCATGTCAACGGGAGCGTTACCATGGGCCCTGCCATGGCCCTCCCGGCCCTCCTTGGATGGGATGCGAGGCTACTTGCTCCTGGGATGTGATGGAATCTGGGAACGCTTCACAAACCAACAAGTTGTCGACTTTGTCTTGCCGAGGCAGTGCACATTTGTGGTGGGGATGGATAAAGTAGATGTTTGACCATGCATGCATTCCAATGTATTTTGTTGCATCTTTTACAGTGTATCACAAAGAATCCTGCGGCATGCTTAGAGTGCAATACCAATACCATTTCCTTTAGTGTTTTCTTCTAAAAAGTGCGTTCGCTGTAGACTTCAAGAACAAGATCGACTTTCAACCGCGTTGTCAGCTTTTTTGACGCGTCCGCCTCCTAGTTGTGAGAACAATAGAATTGATTAATTCTGCAGTCCGCTGGCTGATTTTCACCCTGTGGTTTTTGCATGCTTGTGGGGCACTAGCAGAAGGATCAGAAATGTGAAGTTGAAGCCAAACCCAGTCTTTGACCCCTTTTTGCGTTGCAAGCGGACACAATTTGCACAACTTCAGGTGCGTTGTCACCCAATCCAGCCAGGAGCCCTTGGCTTGGCTGCAAGTTGTAAGTGGCATGCATGACAAAGCATTCTCTTTGCTCCAAATAACATCAACCTTGAAGGCAACGAGGTCCAAGAAAGTACATCATTGATTCATTGATGATTCATGTTTGCACTGCGGAAGACGCAGTTGAATTGCAGGACAAATGGAGAAGGGTGTGACAATATGACCCTTGTTTGTACAGAGCTCACTCGAAAGAGTGAGTGCCAGCCAAAGAAGCTCCAGCTGAAGCGGAGGCGAAGGAGCGCTGTTTCCAACTGGTCAAAGATTGCTTTTGAATTCTTTGTCCAAAGATTGCTCAATGCAGTTGGAATTCTTTGGCTTGCTAAACCACTTCACGGATGTTTGTCAGGGATAAGACTGTCGGCGTGCTGCTTGACTCTGTGCCTGGTAGCCTGGGAACACTCAATTTGTGGTTTCTTGTTTCCTTTTTTCTTGTCCTCCCTTCTTTTGAATCTTAGCCCGAGGGCGGCTCAAGCTTCTTCAACGAAGCTCCCTCGCCTGAGGGCACGGGGAGCTTCTTTTGGGGAACTTAACCATAACCTGGCAGAATGTATGAACAAGATTGAATTCTGTCCGACAGACTCTAAAGAGTGTGCTCAGCACACCTGTAGGAAGGCCAGCAGGCTTGCATAAAGTTGATTTGTCGACCATTTCCTGAGGCTTAAACCTGATTCGTGGGTTCCACCTTCAAACCGTCGGAGGCGTTTCCTCACACGGATCAGGTCGGACAGGGACTTCTTAATGTCATCTAATTTCAAGGTATTATTCGGTTCGAATGTTAAGTCTGTATATACAATAATCAATATCATTTGATATCTCTGTGCTTTTTATTTTTGTGTTCCTGGAGGCTAGTGCGAATGCTCTCGTACCACAAAAAGGTCGCATCGCAGTTCTTGCACCTGGAAGAAGTCTGCATTGTGATCCTGTGTTTTTTGCATACGTCATAAGCTATGCAAGTAATTCCTGGGATGGAGCAGATGAGCAGATGGTCAATTTTGTACTGGAGGCTAGATCTAGGCAGGCGAGGTTGAAAAGTACACATTATGGAGCAGCCCGTTGAACAACACTAGTGCATGTTGACAGTCTGCATTGCTGCATGCTGGTTACAACCGCTGGATCAAAGAGCAGTGTCATATAGTCATACACGGGCATTAAGGCGCGGCCATTCCCAAGTCTTGATGTCGCAAGGGGCGCGTGCCCAAATGCGACAAACAGCGCCTCCTGGTCTACATTTTCAGTCCTATAGAAACAGACCAACTGCGAGTCCCTTAGAGCTGGAGAGTGCTGTCCCAGACATATGGGAATTTCATCAAAGGAGATCTATGCAAATCTCCGCAAATGCTCAGCAAAGCTCCCAGCAAAGCTCCCAAAGCTTCGCACCCTCACGAGCTTCCATGACTTGTGAGATGCAATATATGCAACGTCTTCCAGATCCACCAGGCCTACGCAAAACCAGTGAAGCTGTGGCTGTCGTGCCCGAAAATAGTCGACCCAAGGGCACCCACCGTGGCCAGGTCCTCATGGTGAGTCTTCTGTTGGGCATCACTCTGTTTCTTTTGAGGAGTAGCTCTTGGCAAGAGGAGACTATGGCTGCGAGGCCTGATGAAGTCTACAAAGTCTATGCCACCATGATGTCAATGATGCCACAAGGTGGCAAGGAAGCCCTAAAACCTCGGCGTCCACTTTCAGCAAAGCCTAAACCAATTTTTGATTTGAAAGCTGGGCTGTTCACTGCTTATGTTGTGGGTATTTGCAGCCCTGGAGAGAGCTTCAACTACATGGTGGATACCACAAGCTGCCAACAAAAACTGGAAGCATTCTGCGTGTCCTTGCGAGAGGCCACCCCCAATGATTCTTATTTGAAACTGGGAGACCGACTCTACGAGAATTGCATGGACACTGCAAAGACCGAGAATGGACTATCTGTCTCATTGCTGTATGGCCCAGTCCCACAGCTGTGGAGCCATGAGCCGCATGATCCCAGCAACCTGGAAGAAGAGTTCATGAGCCCAGCCTCAAATTCTGTGGATTGGGCGGAATTCTGTAGCACCGTGGCGGATTGTGAGCAACTGGTAGCTTTACGGTCCTGGAGTTGGATCATGGCCTTTGCTATTCTACTTGGGGTTGGGACATTGACAGCATGCTGCGGAGCTTATGCTTTGCACTGGGCCAAGCCTCAAGCTGACTTCCCCAAAACACGATTCCGCTGTGGGGTGCTTTCCTTGATGCTCTTCAGCTTGGCTGCTGGGGTGTACTTCTATATTGCACAGACATTTCCTGTCAGCAGCTACATCCGCAGTGAGAGCCTCTTTTATTTCATGCTTCCAGATCCTGGTGATGCCCGAAGATTGGAGGAATTGTCTCCAGTTGTTCCGCGGGCACTGGCAGATAGTACCAAGCACCTTGCAAAGGGGTGGAAGAGGTTACTCCTGTCGTTGACCGGAGCATTATTGCGCGGTCTCGCACAAGGAGATATGGCACACGTGTACCTAGAGCTTCAGGAGAGCCTTGAAAGAGGTTGGCGCCTGGCAGATGTTCTTTTCCAGCGATGGTTGAAATATATTCGCTACGCACTGAACCAGGCTCCATCAGATGGAGCCATCATCCTCAGGGACACTGGGAAGAGACTGCAAGAGCTTGATGATTGGATCCTTCATTTGATTTCCAGCAATGAAACAAATTCAACGAAGCAAGACTTCGACAAACAAGTGAAAGACTTGAGTGTCGAGCTTCATCAACAGATGGAAGAGATGATGGTTGTGAATGAGAGGGCAACAGAATTGGTTGAGCACAGCCAGAAGCTCGTCCAAACGATCTTGTTGGCATGGCAAGATTTGCAGCAGCCTATCTCCAGCACGGTTGACCGGATTAAGCATGCTTTTGGGAAGAAAGGCAAGAAACCCATTCAAAAGATGATGTCCATAGCAAAGAATCTTGCCCTTGACCAATCAACGGTCAACGACTTGAAGATCATTTTCAATCGTCTCTTCCAGACTCTTCCTACAGTTGTGAGTGAAGTACGGCTGGTCGCATCGGACTTCAATAGCTTGACATCAAGTTTTGGGCCTTTGGTAAAGCGGACACGGAAGACAATGAACCGAGGTTCCAAATTAGTTGCCAATTTGCTTAGATTTGAGCGGGATAACATAAAGCTGGAGGCTCAAAACCTTCTTAAGGAGCTTCAACAGCCAAATGGCCTGCAGCGCGCGGCTAAAATTTGGACACAACTTACGAAGCAAGAGATGAAAGAGCTTGAAGCTCAAACTGGGGCAATTTCTGCCCGCTTGCTGCGCACAGACAGCGAAGGGCCTCGAGTTGCAAGTTTGGTGCAGCCTTTGGTGAAAGAGCGTGGCATGGCCACTCCCATGGTGCGAATCAGCGGCATTTTCTTGCAGCAACTGCAAAGCCTTGGGAGCTCAGGATTTCAACCAATGCAGGAACAGCAGCTTTGCTCCTGGCAAATGCCATCAGCTTGTACCAATCTTGGCTTGGACTTTTTCTGCTTTGTGATGCTGCAGATAGCAGCCACGGTCTTTGCGATTAAGATGAGCCGCTCGGCTTGAGTAGGCCCATTCGAAGCAATTCGGAGCACTGGCACTGGTTGGTGGTTTTGATTGTTTTGAATAATTCGCTTTGCGTTCCCAAAGGGAGCTGCGCATTTTGCACAATGCAAGCTGAAAGACTTAACTGTATATATTTCTATATCATATGAATCATATGTGTATATATTGTGCATACATAGCAACTCATCCTTTGGTCTGTGCCAGCCAGATATATCGACATTATATATATATGGATAGTCAAGTATATGCATAGCAATTGTCTATTGGAAACTCTGCAGATTTCAGGCAGCTTGCAGTTACCAGTCTGACTGCGCTCGAGGGAGACGCAGAATCAAGAATCCTTAAAGGCCCTGCACAGCCGAACCCCAAGATCGCTGGACCTCCGGAGGGGGAAAGAGGCGGAATGCTTCGCTGCTAGCAAAAGACATGACACTTGACTTTTCTGGAAGGCTTCAAGGGTTTGATTGGCCGAAGAAAGGGACTGTCGTGAAGCTGCTAGTCGTTGAAGAATTGAACATGAGTCCCTGTGCATGCTGCCTTTGGCTCAGAATTGCTAAGCTCGCCTCAGGATCCGTCCTCCCTCGCCCTGTGGTGGCGATTCAACGTTTTCATTACGCTCCTCCCTGTTCTGGACAAACCCTAAGGTCCAGCGGTCTCCATGGAACCTGTCATCGAACTTGTCTATGAAGGTCTCTACATGCTGCGCATCGAGCTGAGCTTCTTGGTGGCTCTCGCCTTTCTATGGGTGGCGGGCCAGTCACTGAGCAACAAGCGTGTCGATCCAGTCAAGGCCCGTAAGGCTCCAGCTCCACGTCGTGGAACGACTCGGCGCGCCAACGTGGATGAGACTCTCACACCCTCCACCGTTGACCCGAAGAAGCTCCAAGACCCTTCATGGGTCGTGGCGCAGGTGGCTGCTCTTTGCCGCTCTCAAGTTCAACGTGCAATGGAATTGTACCGAGTTGCTGTGCGGGCAGGCTTAAACATCAAGGACTCTTGGTCATGATTGTCGGGCACACTCTGATGCAGACGATTGGATTGTGTAGTAGGGGGTGGTGTAGCTGCAACAAGCTGCTTGTAAGCATTGGGCTTGACAATTCAATTTCTTGCCCAGGAGATGTCCGCGAATGACTGTCAGCAACTCTACTCACATTTGGTCACTGCTGCCATCCGTGTGGGGCAAGCTGATGATGCCTTGAACCTCATGAAGGACAGTTTCTAGATCTCGCCCACTGCAACGCACACTTGCTTGAGAATTTATGCAGCAAAAGATAAACACAAGGACCTCCGCATCTGTTCTGCTAGGACCTCCGGCGCTTTCAAGAAGTGGATGTCGCTTTGCTGGCCTCGGCCACAAAGCTTTGCACCTCCAAGCAGTGCCTCGGAGATGAGTGAACCTGGAATCAGCGCTAGCCGCTAGCCGCTAGACTCTTCTACAAATCAAGAACTAGCAGGACAAGGTAGTAGAGGATACGAAGATTGCCTGTCCAGTAGCTTTGGAGGTTCTCAAGTTTGACCATCTCCTTACTCTGTCAATGTTTTACATTACCAGGCTTTCAGAGGCTCCATGGCTTCCTTGTGTTTGCCAACATTCCGTTTCAGTCGATTCGAGCAAAGGCTTTTTGCAGACTGCTTGAGCATCTATGACTTCACATCGCAAGATCCTAAACTTGAAGTTCAGGACTCTTGACGGTACTGGATCACAAGTCATGAACACTTAGTTTTATGTTGGAGGTCCTTTGGTGCAATAGTCGCCGCTTCCAGGACAAGAGTGTATGGAGTTGCTTGCTCTTCTGTGCTGTCGAGACCAAGAGCCTTTTGGTGATAAACACTATTACCTGCCACTATCCCTTGTGCTGTGTGAAATGCATAATTGATGCAAGGGTTTGCCGTTTGCACCAGAGACTTTTCTGAATCCGAGAGCTTGCCTGAGTTTGAGTGAGCTCAACTGTGCTCTTAGGCTATCATCGGTGCTCCTTCTTCTTCGAGCGTTTGAGAACCTATGGCTCTCCATCTCCAAAGGACTTTGGCAATTTGGCAGGGGTGTTCTAATTTTGTTTCCTTCAGTGTTCAAAGTTGCCAACACTGTATTATTTCCCCACAAACAGTGAGGTCTCACGAGGGGTTCTTGCGGTAGGGGTTAAGGCCGGGTTCTCGATCGGTGGTGCTCACCGGCGTTCGCATTTCGACTGCACAGGCTCGCAGAAACTCTCTGGCTGGCACGGGTGCTTGCTTCGGACTGCGCTCTGGTTGTGGTGCCGTGCACATTTTCGGACTTGGTGGTCACCTTAATGGCATGCGTAAGGGAAACCTCGTTGACTTCTCGTAGCAGGTGCAGGAGATCAGAGCGGCTTCACAATCGTGATTTTTGGACGCGGGGTTCGTTTTTGGAGTATTTGGGGAGGTATCAAGCGAAAGCTGCTTTTTGGCGTTTTGATGTTGTCAGGCTATTGCTGTGAAACGCCTTGGCAGGGTTCGTTGCTCTTGTGTGCGTGTGTGTATGCCAGTGTTTGGTTGCTATCGTCATCCGAAAAAACTGTTTGGGGCCTCTTGGCCGGATATTTTCTGCGTAGACAGCAAGATGATGTGTTGTCCTTCAAGGCAACATGGTGCGATACGCTTCAAGTACAAGCAACTGGCGGTTGGCATTGCATCTCATTGACGACATGCAGAAGGCTGGGCGGTCGCAGCTAAAGCGTGATAGACCCGGATGCCAAGGCTAAGGGGCCATGTCCAGCTGCTTTCACCTGTTTGGACCTACTGTGGCACTCTGGTGGGTGATGTCTCGGGCCTGGGAACTCACTGTTGAAAGCGAGTTCTCAGTATATAGTTCTGTAGTCAACTGAAACCTTCAAACTTTGCAAGGGGCGTTGGATTGGACATGAGTGTTTGTCAAGGCTTTCGCAAGTGAGACCGCTTTAGTCCTCTGGCAAGTGGGCATTGCTAGGGTTGGAGTCTGGGAGGCACAAGTGGAGGTGGACAGCGTGGTGTACAACACAGTGCTAGCGGCTTGTGTAAGTGCCGAACAGCTCGACCAGGCGCCCCGCACACGCCCATGCCACCGGCAGCAGCCGGAGATTTGAGATGAAAGAAAGAAGGTAAGGGTTTCTTCTATAAGGGCTCCTTTAAAGTGGCCCTTATTGACGGGGCGTTTACCTTACTTTTTTGTCTCTTGCATTTGCTTGAAAGCAGCAAATCCTTTTTTTTGTGCACTTTCCTTGGAGGCCCGTAAGCTCTTGGATCAAATGGTTGCAGCTGGAGGAGTCACCGATGTCATCACCTACAATACGCTGGCTAAGGCCGTGATCAGCTGTTTTGTGTCTTCATTTTTGTAACTTAAAGATAATGAACTTGAGAAAACAGGATACAAGCGCTTGACTGTGCAGCCACAGCCACTGGCCATTCCAGGGGTATGCCAAAGCTGGTCGCATGGACATGTGCTTCGAATTGTACCAGCTGATGCGTTCGCGTGGCCTCAGCCCATCTCAAGTGACCTATGGAATCCTGCTGGATGGCTTTATCAACGACAATGAGGCTCAGGGACTCGGAGGGACTTCGACTTTGTCTTTCTGTGCCGACTTCACAACCCTTTTGTAAGGGTTCCAATGCAGGTGGATAAAGCGGTGGACATTTTCAACACCATGCGCACGGAGGGCTGCCAAATGAATACGGCTCCTCGCTCGAAGGAGGGCGAGTTTGATTTCGATAGATAGTACATCACAGAGTACTGAATTTACAATAGTATGTACATATATATATATATATATGTATGTCTGTATATTATATACATTGAGTCTAAATTGATTCTTATTTTTGCCAAGGTGCTCTACACAACTCTCATCAAAGGCTTTGCACGAGCAGGGCAAGTGGACCAAGCTGTGCAAATCTATGAGGAGATGCGAAAGGAAAGGTCCATGCAGCCAGACGTCATCACATTCTCGATCCTCATCAAAGCAAATTGCGATGTGGGCAGGCGGGAGACCAGAGACCAAGAATAAATTCATTGAACACCTTTTGTTCACCAAGTTCTGTTGAACAGATCAGCCATAAAACCAGCAGTCATAGGTAACAACAGAATCTGTGCGGACAGAAGGACAGACAACCAAGCTGAACCAAGCGAGGCTAGAAGAAGCTCTGAAGATGCTACTGGCCATGAAGGAGGCAGGACTCAAGCCGGACGAGGCCAGAGAGGGTTCAGGGACTGAGAGGGACCGAGGGACTTCGTTTGGGCCTTTCGTAGGATGCGGGGGAATTTCGGTCAGGTCGTCTTCAACAACCTGTTGGGCGGCTGCATCAACGACTGCAAGCTGGAATTGGCCAAGGAGGGCTAAGTCAATGAGATGGATTATATAAGATGGTGAAGGATTCCGAAGGATTCAGTGAAACATGCTTATGATTGTGCACCTGATCACTTGATCAAACGTTTTCACTCCTTGAGGACCTATACAAGGAGATGATTGCCTCCAATGTTAAGCCATCTGTAGCAACCTTTTCAATCCTGATTCGCCTGTATGCTCAATGCGTCTTGGAGTTCAATCCTACATGTCCACATGTGTTCATTTTTTTTTGTGTATCTGGATTTGCTCTCCAAGGTAAGCATTGGGATGAAGCAGTAGACTTGTTGCGCCAGGAGACAACATGACTGTTCCGAGAGTTTGACTTAGATGTAGCTGCCAACATCAACTTCACTTGTAATTCCCAAGTGCTTTGTTCAGCCATCCAGGAGCTGCCATTACAAAAGGTCTCGCCGGAGCCACGACTTTTTGGTCAGTTGGCACAGTGCTGCCTTCGTGATCGGCAGGGCCGTCGAGCCAGTGAGGCGCGGCTCTTTGTTGGATGGTTGAGCTGACAGTTTTTCTCGACCAAACAATCTTGAGACCTTGGCTCAAGGTCTACAAGATGCTGACAGAGAGCTCCACACCAACTGCTGCCATGAACAGCACTTTGCTTGGGATGTGCGCCAAGCTGAATATGCTGGACACAGGCCTCCGAAATCGCCACCCCATGACCTTTGCTGCCAGCAGAAACTGCTCCTGCAAGCCCTGCTGCCAGTTTCTTTCTGGGCTATGCTTAGTGTGGCAGGTGCTGAGATCATGCACTTGGCTGCTGATGCCAACTCACGGGTGGACCCCCCGTGATGCTGCTATGATGCTTGAGGCTGGGTCATAAGACAGAACCATCGTACCATACCACCGATTCTGGATATTTGGACCGAGGCCGCCTTGCGAAAAAAGAAGCCACAGGTCATGGGTGTGCTCAAGGCTACTCCAGCTCACCAAACACACCCAACATGTCGTGCCATTTACGCTTGTCAAACTGATTCGCAGGAAGCCATGATCAAGCTGAACTTGCCAGTGCAAGCGTAGCAGCATAGCGCAGCTTTTTGACACCAGCTCATAGAGGAGAAAGGAAGAAAAAGTGCCGCAGTATCCTGGCCCCCCAGTCAGTTTGGGGAGGAACCGGCACCTCTAATTTAAAGAAACAGCTCCAGGTAAAGGTCAAAGCTTAGGGCATTCAAGTGTATACAGTATACACTATATTTCGTGTCGTGTATTTGTCACAATTCATGATTTGAGGCATGATTTTAGGGATGCTTACAGTATTTATTTTACTTTGTTGTATTTGTCTATTTATTTTTAAACCACATTTTTTTGTTGACATGGACAAAGCGCTTACCCATGTCCTTTTTGGTTCCCCTTTTTGGACACAATCAGTTCCGAGATTGCCCCTGTGGTCTCTGGTGGTGGAAAGGGTTGTGAACCCACACGGTGTTTGCAGAGGATTGAAGATTCGATTCCTCCAGTGTGAATGCAGGATCCTCGGCTGCTCCACATATGGCCAGCCAGAGCTGGTGTCTGCAGCACTCCATCCCGAGGTGCACAAGGGCGGTCGACGTGAAAAAAGAGCAAGCGCCTACTGTGCAAAACACCAAGGTCAATGCAGACTACCTGGGCAGTGGTGCCATTTTTTGCTACGCCTACAAAGGCAAGTGCTGCGAAGGCGCCGGCTTCAGACAGCAACATCAAGTCATCAAACAAGTTACTGCCTCAGCATCCAGGGGTTGGAACACCTACCGGCCTTGCGGACGCAAGTGGCTTCGAAGGTCAGCAAGCAGTACTACTTGATGAATTTGTCAAGCTAAGCTGGCTTCCAGGGACCAGTCCCCATTGTCGCCATTGGTGGGGTAAACATCTCAGAGCATTGCCACAGAAAAGCAACACATTCCCATGGGCACATATGCCTTGTCACTCCATCTGAGGTGGATCTATCTTCTGCTGGTGACTGCATTCGCTCCGGCGCTGACGGTGTGGCTGTGGTGGCTTGCCGAGAGTTTCGAAATGTTTGGAGTGAAGCAAGATGCCCTCGGTGTCAGAGTGGTTTCCTTCCAGGTTCGTGGCTTGCTGAAGAGCGATGGTCCTGAGGATTCTGAGGCCAAAGCTAAGGCGCGCTGGTGGCTGGTGGCAGATGCCACAAGCTTTGTTTCAACGTTAACAGAAACTGATTGTAGAGTGATTCATTGTGAGGTATCAAATCGACTACAAAACGATGCAAGCAACTAACTAATCTGACATGCACTGGTTTGCATGGCATAGCGATTGCTACCTACGGTCATCAAACCACGAAGGTCCAGCTCGTTAAAGCAGTGCAAGTGTAAGTTAGGCGCAACACTTCAAAGCCTGAGTCTCTGGTGGTATGCTTGCTGGTATTGTGCGAGAGCGAAGACTTTTGAATGCTTTTCGGAGCGTGTCAGGCACTCATTTCTGAGGTTCGCTCTGCTCTTGCAGAACGCAGCGGAGAATGAAAAAGGGCAGCAAATGCGGTACGTAGTGTGACGTGAGCTGTTGACTGACGATAATTGCAACCCAAAGTTCTGACTTCAATCGTTCTGAGCAGCTCCAAGCGTGTCAGCACTCAAAGGTGCCGCAAAACTATTGCGAACGAACCTGCTAAGGAGGCCTGGACATCTCAAACGCTCTCTCCTTGAGGTAAAACATTGCGCTTCATTCGCCACCGTGATTTGAGACCTGCACGACTTCACATTGTTTGAACACTCACAAGCCGAGAGTATGCTTTGAGTTTTGCCCTTTGCCTTGCCAAAACAAGCATCTATCAGACGAACATCTTGCTATACCCTAACCTTAGGCAACAATCTCGGGGCTTGATTTGTTGCTGTTTGTTCCACAGGAAACATGCCCGAGTGAGCCGGTAAAGCCCGAGAAGCTGGACATGGAGGTGCCCCAAAGATGAGCTTTATGCTCAAGAGCACATAGGAATAGCATGAAATCCTTCTTCTTAAGCACCCATTCTGGTAGGAACACCCCTTCTCTTTGTTTGTACACTTTCTCACTTGGCAACCACCACATTATGTGGAGAGACAACACTTGTGCAACACCGTATCACAAAGCTTCCAAAATAATACGTTCAATACACCATGCATGACTTGGCGAGAACTTATGCATGCTAGCCGCATCGAGTCTGCTTATGCAAAGACTAGAGATTTATCATCAACCACGTGCTGCGAATGTTACTGCGTGTTTAGGCGGAATGGGCCTTCGGTGGAAACTGGGGAGAGGTGAATAAGGGCTGCTGTGATGACATGTGGCCGGGGGGTGAAGGTTCGGTTGGGCCTTGCAATGCCAAGCTTGCAAGGCGCACTGTCATAGTTGCACCAAGGTCAGCACTAGCTACCCAAACTACATTGTGGATCATTGTGGTATTCATCATAACAGACAGCTGGAATGCACCACAGAGCTGGGATAGCCATGAAACACTACCGGAAATCACACAATCAGCCCAGATGGCCACAAGTCATGAGAGATTGCTAGGCAAATCACCATAGAGCGCCACAATAGACTGCAACTGATATCAGCGAGGCTGGAAGTCCTTTCCTTCTTGACACGATGCCCGCTTAAGACGCTTCCTTAAGAACAAGGGATGCAACTCTGGGTGCAGGGTGAAGGCCAAGAAGGAACATTTGCACAGCTGGCAGAATGCATGTAGACTGGGCCCAAGTCAACAGGTACCAGCCGCTTCCCAGGATGGGAACATTGCTGAGACAGCAGAGCCGGAGGTTGGACCTTTGAACAGAGCTTGTATCATTTTATGCTTATGTGTCCTGTCAGGATTCTCGGCTACTGGCTTTGCTGTTCGGGCCTCAGAAGTACTGAAGGTCTTAAGACGTTGACACGCTGGGTATGGTGCACCAGCAATGGGACATTGAACACAACAATCATAGATACGGATACGAGTCTGCATCACATATTTGACGATTCGATTCATGCCAATCTTCTCACATATTTTAGAGGTTGCCTCTACGCTGTTGTTTCCAATAGGGCCTCGAGCAGCGAATATTTTTGACATGGCTGGGTTTCTGGAAACTTTTCATGTGCAACTGCGAGGAGTGATCTGCCTTCCACAAGCCAGCAATCTTTGTTGCCCCTGCTGCGACGTTTTGGCCGAGATCTTAAAAGGCTAAGAGCTATCTGCCAGTTGGTTTGCTGTACTGAATCCAAAATGATGTATATATATATAACATAGACTACAGATGATTGCAGGACATTCTTTGTAAGATGTTTTGTTGTGGTACACCTTCAAGTCGACGTCTATCTCACGAACGTTCGACTCCGCCCAAGGTAAGGAGAGGCTCACAGAGGTGTCTTGCAGATCGATTCAATGCTGGAAGGTGCTTGGCTTTGCTTGATCTTTCTGCAAGGTGCTTGCCTTGTACCGTTTCCTTGGAGATGGCGACTCAAGGCAATGCAGTTCAAGTTTGAACATGGACTTAGACCAAGAATTCTATCTCGATTTCCGCGCGTCGTGGGTAAGTCATCGATGCATATCTTCGCAGTCAGTTGTTTCAGGTTGAATTTCCTTCAGTACAATCCTGGTTGTTTGTTTGCAGCCTTCCCCCCAGCTTGTTCCAGTGGCTGTGGTTGTTATCAGTGCCTGTTGGTTTCAGTCGGTTTGTTCTCTTTTTGGGAACCGATTGCTCGTGGCAGTCTCTGGGCTCGTTTATGCATCCTGCTCAATGGGGGATGCTAACCGTGTTCAAGTTGGATTCAACATATTGTTCTGCAAGAAGCAATCTTGAGCAGCTTTGATTTTTGAAGGCCCTCCTCTTTGCGCCGACGGTGTGGTTGTGCTCTGCATATTTGGGGCCCTGCAGGAGTGGCACATCAGAGATGCTTAGAAGCCTCCACATCCAGTCCACCGTGTGAAGAACTCGAACTGCTGATGATGCAGGAGTTGGGAAGACTGGAGTGGTCGCAGGCTATTTGAAAGAGCTGGGATTTAAGTGCGCAACAACCTGGCACCGTTTAGATGTACACCTGCTCAAGCGATGTCTCTTGATGTATCGGACCAACAACCTGTGATTCTGTTAGACTCGCATGGCTTGCACAGGTACGTTTGGCTTAATTGCTACTGTCTGGTTCCTGAGCGATCTTGAACCTCTATGCGCACTTTTTGACTGCTGACTGCTGGCCCATTTGACACCCTCCTGCGTCTTAGGTATTCTATCCCAAGCAGACTTGCACAGGAAGTTAGCGATGGGCGTGTTGGGCAGCCTGGTTTGCTGGCACTTCAAACATGGCATACTACGGAGAAGCGGTTCAAGACTTTTTTGTTGGCTACTACTTTGCATAAACGGACACTTCTCAACACGTTCATTCCCAAGTGTGGCGTTGTCCGAGGACACGCCTAGCAGAGGAGGCTCAGCAAGCCGCCTTGTCCAAGCTGGAAAGTGGTCGCCCTAGTCACTCTTGAGTCCCCGAGCCCAACCAGACACCGTCACTCAGATGTTTGATGCACAGGGTTCAGTCAGTTTCCTGGCCTTTTCCTCAAGGTCTAGAGGCGAAGCTTCCTCAACAACTGCGGGCTATAGATCGATTAGAGGCAGATCATTCAAGCAAAGCTTGGGCTTCTTGGTTGGGCCACAGCTGCATCACGTGAGTTGCTTTGACAGTAAATCACAGGGTGTGTGCATAATTGAAGACCAAACCTTGAAACCTACTTTGTTTTTTTGGTGCTAAACCCTTAACGGATTTGCATTGACTTGTTGTATGTGTGCACACAAAATAAATATCATTGATCAGCAACGATGTAGGGAGCCTTGAAAGCGCCGGTGGCAGAGTTGAGCCGTCTGAAGTGTAGCCAGGCAGGGTTTTCAGATGAATTGTGGTCTCTTTGGCTTCTTTGAAACCACTAGAATTGTGGCAGGTCCTTGTTGTCCTCGATCATGTGGAGGTGCAGCATTTGTTTCAACGAAGATGGTGTGCACAGCCTAGAATAGACCCTGCGCCTCAAGGAGCTTGTCAGTCGATTGGGGCTGCCAGCGTTGGAGCAGCTCCTTGCGCTGCCAGAGGCTCGCTTTGGCTCACCTTGTTGCACAATCAATGCTTAAGATTCTGAAATGATCCTCAGTAGGCAAATCCTCGCTACTTCGTGGATCCGCTTGAAAATTGCGTACCTGTACCGATTGCTACATGTGTGAGTGCACAATCACATTCCAATGAATCAATGAATCAGAACTTCTGTTTGGAATTGAGGTTTCTTCTCTCTAGAATCATGTGACAATTGGCGACAGATCCTAAGCTTTGGGGACATGCTGGTGCCGCTGACCATTAGCCGGGTTGCTTTGAAGAGCCTGCAACTAAGATGATGTGAACTTGATGCTTGAGAGCAATGGACCCATTCAGAGATGAGGTCTTCCATTAAGCAAGCATCATTTACTGTATCAGCATTGGTGTTTCTGTGTCAATTGTAGGAATCACAACCGTTTTGCCATGGACTATTGGTGCTTTGCAGGCTTGGGTCTTCACTCAACTCGCGAGCCTCCACATGTGTCGTTTGAGCCGTGCCCAATGGGACCAATTTCAACGCAAAGAGCACACTCCTCGCTGTGAGCTAGAACGAACCTTTGCGGTAGCATGTCTTCAGCATGTTTCCTAGTTTTGTTGTACATTTTGTAATCAGAACAGTAGAGTCTCAGTAGAGCATTCTCCAGTGCAGCTGAGGCCAGGAATCAAGAAAAGCTGGAGATTGTTTTCAAGACACCTTTGTTGTTGTCAGTGTTGCTGTTTGGGCTCAAGTCAAGTGGATTCCCTTGGTTTAGTTTCACATAGCAGAAGGCAATGTCCCACTGAGGCAGGGTTTGTCTTGCAAACACCAAACGCAGACTCTGATGCCCAAACCCTTTGGAACTTCGGAACTTGAGGCTACTTTCCTTCATAGTTTTTGACATTTTGCTTCCACTCTTTGTGCACATGTGCGAGTTTACAACCCCAAACTAAACCGGTTAATTGCTGAGTCAACGGGCCTGTCACAGTTCAGGTAGAAATCTAGGAGCCAAATCATTATATAGTGCGAGCGCTTCTTCAAGGAAGCTTCCCCCGCGACCTTTAGGGCGGCAGGGGGAGCTTCCTTGAAGAAGCGTGAGCTATCCTGCGTCCAGCAGTTAGTAGCTTACTTGCAGGTAGTAGCTACCTATAGCTACTACTAGCTACTTCCTACCTCACCTCTAGCGGTCTACCCCACCCAAAAAAAAGAACAATGTGACTCATCCCAACACCTCGCCGCTTCACTCGCTTTCGTAGATGCGGCCAAGCCTGCTGCTAGGGCTTTGGCAGGCGGAATCTTTTTTTTGACCTCAACAGCATGTCAGCTGGCGTGAAAGGTTTCAAAGTTCAATAGTTTCAGCGCAACAATCCAACAATCCGAGGGCCTAAGGCTATTCATCATCCCTATCAAACCTAATTCTTTGTATAGGCTGTGGCAATCGAGCTAGGGGCCAAACTTGGTCATGGAAGCAAGAGCATCGTTTGCCTGTTGGTGAAAGGGATTATGATTATGTGAGCTATGCAATGCTTGTCATTGCATCAGGTAAACCGATGCTGGTCACAAGGCGATAGCGCGAAGCAGGCACTGGATGGCACTGGGTACCATTTTGGTGAACAGCAGGTATGCGTCTGGGATTGTTTTGCTATGTTTTGCTGTGCCAGTCTTGAGAAAGAACATGGCAGAATGAAACACGTGGAAGATGCAAGAGAGGAGCAGCATTGAGCCGTGTCAATCGAACCTTTGTCACCTTTCACAACATTGGTCCATACATAGCAAGCTGTATGAGATGCCCGGTCAGATTACTTTTCACTGTGACGTCGACTTGCAAAACGCAAATGCGGCATGGCTGGCTGCTCAGAGCCACCAGGGAAAGTTTTTGTGGCATCAACAGCTGAATTCTGAGACCCCTCGACAGCTGTTCAGGTCACGGGAAAAGCGAGAGTGGTGTTGCGAGAATCTGGGCATAGCATGTGAGGCTGGATCATTCGAACCATACAGAACTTTCTTGAACTGCTTCTCTTTCATTGGCAACTCAGCGCGATGAAGTGGTTGCTTCAACAGCAGACTCTAATGCAGGAAGACTTTCACTGCGATGTGGCGCTGCGCAACTATGAGCGTGCCTGGTGCGCCCCTGTTTGGCTGAATCTCACAAATGACGCTGATGCTGAGGAAAACTATATATATATAAAATACAACGCAATACCTTGACATGTTTTTAACTGTTAGGCTGCATTATAAGTGAAGGGATGGGAGAAGGAGTATCCAGGACGCTTGAGGTTACACTAGAGGTTCAATGGCTGTTGCTGCGAAGGTCTTTGGCGAAGAAGAAGTTTTGCTGCAAGACGGCGGGTGTTGCATGCAAGGCTTCCATCCAGAGAGGGATGTTACCATGTTGTCTTGTCATAGATGGCTGTGCTTTTGCGTAGGGCCTGGAAGACGAGATCTTCCTCACTACCAAGGCACCCCAGGTTGATCCAGGCGCGTGATTTTGTGCCGGAAAAGAGCTGGAGAGAACTTGCTTTTGGTTGTTTTGGAGATATCTTTGTGCCTCCTTTTCCCTGGATGTTTTCTACCTAGTGCTGGTGTGCTTGTGATCCAGAACGAACGCCTCACTGCAAGCAAACAACAGCACTATAATGGTGAGTATCGCAGCAGGTCGAGCCAACCATCCTTCGGTGTCTCTATATATATAATATATATATAGACTATAGATTAAGGCATACCTCAGACCCTTGAGCCTTGTTTATATGCACCTGCACCATCCTGCATCATTGTGATGACTCTGCAACGATGCACTGCAAAAGAGATCAATCCCATCAAGCTAAAGCATGAATGGCACAAACCTATCACTGCACCACCATGCTGAACCAATGTCTTGTGGCCAGGAAATCTCCTGGCCCAAGCGCCTATTGAGGATTGGCCAGAAGCTGAAGGCAGCGATAGTAGCGGCGTGACCAGTACCTTTGAGGCATTGACCTTTCTGACATTGGTGCAGGTGAAGGAAAAATAGCGGAGGCTCCCGACGAGGAGCCTTGAGTCTCTCGAGTAGAGGTCACGAGCAAGCAGTTGCTCAACGATGAGACCTGAAGATGAAAAGCAACACAGTATACAGCATCAGAGAACTCAGTATGATACTTTCTGCCAGGATCAGTTCATGCCTTGTGATGACATTGCTCGGCGGGGACTCTTCGTTGGAACTGTGAGGAGCGCGCGCACACACCAGATGCAATAGAATAGAATTTGGGCTTGAATCTGAAGTCATGTTAAGGCATTGGAATTGGCTTGACATGCTTGATTTGATGATTCTTGATGCATGAAGATTTGAGGGCTGCTTCCTGAGATGGGTTCTGTATGTGAGGCCAGAGGAGGGTGCCGGCTGCTGGGCCATTTGTGAGCAGGAGTGATCCGGCGACCCAAGCAACTTTTGCTTTTTGCTTGAAAGGCTTGCTGATAAATCAGTGTGGTGAACATAGTAGGACATGTTGTACAAGCTTTCAACGGACATCGAAACAATGAAGGCAGAAATGCATGCAGCCTATCCAGTTGCAGGATCACTGGCGAATGCGAGTGGCCCCCTATGTGGCGGGTTCCGTCTTTCTGATTCTCACCTGCGTCGCAGTTTGGCAGGCGAACAACACTCAGTCACCAGCCCTTATTTGTTTTGCAAAAGGACTGGCATCACTCACCAAACTTTGAGTTTCTGTATTTAAGACAGAACTCTTTTGCGAGTGCAAGAGCACATGATCCTTCTATGGTACAATGTTTGTACGCTTTGTGCTTCGATACGCTTGTAGCCGATCCATCACTCAGTCGCCGATGGTCAACGGCAGGGCAGATGTGCGAAGCAGGATGACCAATTCCACGACCTGTGGGATCGGGACTCGGTTCCAGATGTTCCAGACATGTCTTTTCTTGTCTTTTGGCAGAAAATACTGCACATACATATATTATATATATAATCCCCTGCCGAATATCCTCTATATATAGAATCTGGGAGCTTGAGAGAATTGGTTTTAGAGTGGATGGTGTGTTGTGAGGTCAGGTAGGTGGAGTTTTATCAAATCAATTTTAACCTTCATATGTCCCCACACTTCTCTATAAAATCAAAACAAACCTCTTGGGCCGCTTTTGTCCAAGATTTTTCTAAAATCAACTTCAATCTTCATATGTCCCCACACTTCTCTATAAAATCGAAGCTAACCTCTTGTGCCACTTTTGTCCAACATTCTTCTAAAATCAATCTCAACCTTCATATGTCCCCACACTTCTCTATAACATCAAAACCAACCTTGGCTATGCAACATTGATTTTCAATTTTTTTGCTATCAATTTTTCATGCTGATGAACACCCATACCCTGAGGCACTTGATTCTATAGAGAATGGGTTTCCCGCACTGCAGGAGGTTGATACTTGATTCTATAGTGGGGCAAACTGCCCTCGGAGCGTGGTTTTTAACTCCACTGGGAACTTCTGCTCGAGCAATAAAGAAGCGCCCACTCGTTCTCCACAATTGGTAGCGGAGCCCGGTCCGAAGCCCTGGTCTAGATCCTTAGGATGCGTTCCTCACCTTTGACGCATGACTTCGATGTCAAGTGTGACCGCTTCGTTGCGTGCATTCTCAGGTGGGTGCGAGGTTGGAAGAGAACATAAAAAGATGGACGACCTCGGTCAAAAACAAGCTGTTGACACGGGACAAGATCCCTGAGACAGCTCCCTGAGACAGCCCGAGGAGCTTTTATTAACACCCTGCTGACTGGCAAAGAATATAGGAAACTGTTGAACACTTGGAGCACGACACCCGGCGACCAGGTGACTTGGGCCTTGCTGGACAAACGTTGTCGATGAGCTTGGTGAGATTTTGGGTGGTCCGCTAGAGCATCGGAGTTTTTTGGCAGATGCTATCGGATGGTTGCTGTTGCGCCACACTGGGCTGCAGTTGTGATAGCGTGGGCTCGTGGAGCTATTGCTGCGGCTCTTCGTTCGTGCTATCCCGACCTGGCCAACAGAAGAGATGGCCGAGCCCGCGGAACCCCCAAAATAGAAGAGTTCCCTGACGTGGAACAACTGCTGGAAGATCATCAGGCCACTCAGGATCGGATCCCGATGCCGAGACGTTCAATGAATCTCCGATGTCGCTGAGGCATTGGCGACGTCTTGGAAGAAGCGCCGACAGGAACTCCAAAACGCAAGGCAATTTGCTTGATGAACTTTTCTCCATCAACCAAAGAACTCACAAAGAAGTGTACTGCTCATGTCGAGTCATATCAAGAACTAGCACTACAGGTCCTTGGGTTTTCACATCATTAACTCGTGTTTGGGCAAGAACCTTCTGCAAGACTTGTTGAAGGAGCCATGAAAAGTCGTCCGATCCCACCCACTGCGTCCCTCCAGAGCACACGCCCGGCGAGCCGCCGCTCAAACGGCCTTGATCCATATATGCAAGATGATCGGTCATTGGAGTTGCCTTGCTAGCTCGAACCAGAGCAGCCACAAATGTGTGCACACGCGCAGCAAGT